GGTATACACGTAATCTTGTGTCAAATGTTTTATCTTTTGCATTAGTTTCTGACCATTATCCAGTAAGTAACCTTTTTGTCAGTATCCTTGAATAAATAGGGAAAAATGATTACTTTATTCTTTTGATAAAAGCACAGAGGTCTAGCTATATAAAGTGAATTACTCAGAGTTATTCAATGAGGAGATACTTGACACTGGGGAGGATTTATTTTTTAATGAAAAAGTAGTTGTACTCACAGAGAGTATAGTAGTTAGGAATTTCTTAACATTAAGCTATCCATAAAGTAGCCAATTAAATTGTTTAACTCAATAAATATCTACTCAATATCAAGTTACACTTATGAGCCAGTTGTCAGACTCCAAGATATCATGGAATTGGGGACAAATCTTGCAAGAAGAGAAGCAGTGGGACTGACTCTGAGAATTGTCACTGATCTTGTACAAGTTGCACAGAATCTGGGAAACACTGTCTTCATTTGGCTTCCTGGGACATGTTCCACTCTTCTAAATGCTGCTATGGGTTTGGAGGGCTAACCTCTATCAACAGTATTACCTGGACTCCTTGCCCTTCTGGCTTCTCATTGGGTTTGGTCAATGGAGAGAAGGAAAAGTGAGAGGTGATATTCATTCTTTGGATTCCTCCTTTGGTGGGCTGGCAGTGGCTGTATTGCTTGTCCAAGACCCATGGCCCCTGCTGGAAAGCCCTGTCTTTTAGTCATAGCTGTAGCTACAGCTTTCTTCATCTTCTGGTAATTGTCAATCTAGAAATCGTAACTTTCACTCTTGCTAACACTGGTGCTTCACCAGCCTTGCTGGCTCCTGAAATTCTTCCCATGACTCTGCAAATTATGCCTTCATTCAACTCTCCTTTTTTTGCCCCAATTTAAGTGTGCCTTGTGCACACTTCTTAGTCCCTGACTGATATTGAATCACATAATTTCAGTGTTGGAAAACACTGGACTTGGAATTGAGTTTGTCATCCCAGATTTTTAAAAATAACTCTGTGATTTTGAGCAAATAATTTCCCTTCTCTAGTTCTCAGTTTCTTCAAAAAGTGATGTGGAAATAAATGACTAAATAAAGAAACTAAAGGGCAGAGAATTTACATGCACAACGTCAGACATTTTACCTAGTAAGAGGCATAACAGGAATTAAATACATGCCAGGATGATGCTAAAGCCCACAGTGCCTTTCTTTGCCCCTTTCTAAAGTTCTTGGAAGAGATAATGAGGGTCTGAGTCAGCGCCATAGTACAACAGGTAAAAAGCAGAAGTAAATTTAAAATATATTTCAGAGAGAAAGTTAACCAGAGTTTATTAGCCAGTAAGGCGGTGGGTTGGACTCATAAAGTGGAGGGAAGATTTCAACTTCAGCTACCTCACCCTCTATTGACGCCAAGGAATGACAGAAGAAACTCGAGGGAGTGAGATTCAGCGAGGATGGCTAGGTTACTATATCTGGCTATATTTTCAGCAGCATCTTGGGATGGGTATTCAAAGAGCAGTAGGTCATTCGCTTCCTAAGGTACGGTGGGATATGCCAAAAGCTTGAACAAGGCAATCCTTAGTACACAGACGAGGTGTTGCCACCTCTGTCCCTGTCTCATTTTTTATTCTTGTTGGGAAGTTGTTTTTGTCAGGATGGAACACACTGTAAGGCTTTAACGAATCTTCATTAGATTATACCTATTACTCTTGATCAACTTCCAGTCAGGAGGATCAATTGGAGAAGGACATTGGTTATTGCATGGATCTGTCACCTCCTTTTTTCAAAGCCATGAATGTTTCTCCCCAACACCTTTCCAAGGTAATGGGACTTGATATTTACCTAAAAGTACTCTCAAACATCAGGGTCAAGATGTGTGGTTTAACATAGGAGTTTGGGGCTTATAATTTTTTTGCCCTTGACTAAAGATCATAAATACATTTAATTTTCAAAAATTAAAAAAAATTTCTATGCAGAAAATCTTTGTCATGATCTACTGTTTTAATTCTTTCATTTGAGGTGCAAACAAAAGAACTAATATTTCAAGGCTGCATTTAACAAATGACTATAACAGGTATATAATTTTCAAGTATTGAGAATATTAAGTTTGTGCAACAAAAGACCCAGAAAGCAATATGTATGCTGTGCTAAAAAAAATATTTGAAAGGCCAATTTGAAAAGCTGTTTTCTAATATACATTAGGAAACTTGCATTCAGATAAATCAGTTATTTCATCCAATAACTCAAGATTTAGGAGAAAGTAGTTTAAAAGGCATAATACTGCCATTTATCATAATGCTATTTATATTGAGAAGCGGAGGTAAAAACGGGGAAATATCTAAATGTCCAAAGCCAGGGAATGTGGTCAAACACAGTATACTAGAGCTATGCAGTGTAATATTGTTTGCCATTAAAAATGTTTACACAGAGTTTTAATTACAAGGGTAATATTTATGGAAGTATACTATGTAAAAAAAAGGAAGAAGAATTTGGTCTAAATATGCTCATATTCGTGCCTATACATTGATGAAAGAAAAATATATTACTCTTTATTATGTAATTATTTCAATGCAGCAGGTTATGTGTTGTGTATGTGTTTCCTTTTTTTGCACTTTCTGAATTGACTGTCATGAACATGAGTGACTTTTGTAAACATGAAAAATAAACCATTCACCCTACCAACTCTGGAACAGAAAGAGGAGAAAGAACAAGAGGAAGAGAAGGAGGGGGAGTGAGGAGGGAAAGGAAGAGGAGGAGGAGAAAGAGAAACAGGCTTAAAAAAAGAGGAAAAAAAAAAAAAGAAAGAGAAAGAGGGCTTATGGGCTCCACAAATCATAGGCCAAGTATAGCATAGGTTCAATCTCAGTCAGTTCCCATTAGTTTTTAAAGTCATTCTGATCAATTTTTTAGTATCTTCTATTTGTTTTCCTCTCAAGAAACATCCTTTTTCCTCACACTTAGTTGAAAATTGCATTGCATCATGCACGAACATTTGTTTGGGGTATGGCACTACCAGACACGAATGCAGGAAGAATGCTGACAGGACACAGTTGTTATTTTTCTTCACTAAGTGAATATAGAGATCCATTTGAAAGTTACATTTTATCTGTCTACATTGTACAAATGACTATGTCCTCGGTAAATAATATCAGGTAAATTGGCAATTTTGATTCCAATTTGAAAGGAGAAAAGCAATGACTCTAATAATCAACACTCTCTGACAAATGGTGGCAATAAAAGTTACTGCAACCTCGATATCATGTAGGATTAGGGCTTTGGCATTTTTCTGGATTATGGCCTTCTAGGTTGCCAATGACATGTTATATTTTATTGGTGAGATGGAGTGCAGTGCGTGCAATGAAAGAAGAAAAATAAAGCAATATGTCTAAACCATTATTTAAAATTTTTGTGTGCATGGGATTATCACTAATGAAAGTTATTTTGTCCTTCCCTCTCTCCCCATAGAATATTATGTAAGCTCTAGTAGAATAGGGTTTCTGTTGGGTTTTTTTAGTCTATTTTATTTACTCCTCTATTTTCTAGCTCAAGAAGCAGACACTGATATAATAAATATTTGTTGAATGAATAAGTGAATTAATTAAATCTTATTATTATGACATATTATCTTTGCTCAGTCCCATTGAAACAAATTGTTATTTTATTCTGGGAATGTTCACTGGTTGTGTTGGGTTGTTTGAAGTTCTTCCAGTATTTTCTCCATTTGTGTGAAGGCACTAGTGACTTTGCAGGACATTCACATTTTTAAATCACTAATTGAATCCATGAGTTCCTAAAAAATAGGGTGGCAGAATATAAAGAAAGTAGTGGGAGATGTGAGTTATAGGCCCATACCTAGAAAATTTCACCCAGCTTTTTAACACTCTGTTTTCTCACTAGCAAAGCACACCAACTATTCTTTCTGATTCTAGAAGTTGTTTGATGCTTATTAAAAAAATGCGTTTGAAGGAATGTTTGTACCTATAGAATAGTAGTAAATGTACATTATAAATTATACATAGAATCTTTACAAAATAAATTGAAAATTTCCCTTTAGATATCCTCTATTTTCTACTCCTTAAGAATGTCACAAAATTAGAGGAAAAGAAAAGAATGGGAGTGTTATGCTTAGCCTTATAGGTCATGTTGGTTAAGATATATAACACAGTTGTTGAATCAAACACTAATCTAATTGTTGCTGTGAAGATACTTTGTAGATGTACTTAACATCCACCATCAGTTGACATTGAGTAAAGTGTAGATTACCTTGAGTAATGTTGGTGGGCCTCGCCTAATCAGTTGAGGCTTGCCAAAGAAGAAATTCTGTTCCAAGATTGCAGCATCAAATTTTTCCTGAGTTTCCAGCTGCCAATCTACCTATATGTTTTAGGCATTCCAGTTCCCACTGTCATGAGAGCTTTTAAATAAATTCCTTTATATGTGTGTTTGTGTGCATGTATATTATATGTATATATTTATGTTTATGTACATGCGTACGCACATGTGCATACATTGGTTCTGTTTTTCTAGAGAATCTTGAGAGAATAAGGAAGAGAATAAACAAAAAAGAAAAATTATATTTATTTAAATGTTTGATATTTTGTAATATTTTATCGAATCTAGTGATATTTATGAAGTTTGATAGTACCTAAATTACGGACCCAGGACATGAGAGTCAAGATAATATAGTTAATATGTGCAGCTGTTTTGCTAACCAGTTAGGCAATGAGAATTCCTAAAGTTATTTGGGTCTAGTCCCCCTCCAGATCAAACAAAAACGTCCCTGTGTTTTATAGCACAGGCTCCTGTCACTCGCACTGTGCTGTCAGTCTTCCAAAGGAGAAATGCCTTATAATTGCCCCAAAGTTCTCCTGGGCATTTAGGAAAACACAGTGTATCAATAGAGTTGGTTTTGCAGAATATAATATATTGATTCTTTTTTAGAAGCAGGGAACTGCAATGCATGCAGACCTAAACAAACAAAACAAACAGACTGGGGGGAGAAAAAACAAACTTGCTTTGAATAGCAGGAGACGATGTTTTGGCAGCTGAGCAGGGCAAGAGCTTCATGAGACGCTCTTTAATGCTGCGCTTGGTGTTGTTCTGAGCGTAGAGGAAACCTAGAAGATACAGGATCAGTTCTGTTAATACTGTCTGCAGAGAGAAACTGGGCAGTGCCGCACGGGTTATCAGAGAAGCCAGGCAGGCAGGATCAGGGATGCAGCCATCCTCTCAGGCAGTCACAGGCAGGGGGTTGGGACCCCCAGAGAAGAAAAGAATCCTTTCGTTTCTGTGTTTTTCTGTTAATTTGAATTGATGAATCTTTATATAGATTGCATTGGGGATAATGATTAGCGATAGAAAGCAGAATCATGAAAGTATTCTACTGAGTGGCAAAATAAAAATTTAGTGGCTATTTTTTGGCCCTTAGATCAGAAATAAAATAGTCAACTGGATTGAAATTTCAATATTCAAGCCAGCATTAAGGGCCCAGGTGACAATTTTCTGTTCTCATTTCTCCCCATCTTTGATTCCAGAGGAGATAGTTTGCATAAATCACTCACACTGCAAACACCTGTTAGTACCTTTGCCTTCCTGAAAGTGTGAAAATACAAGTTCTTGATTTGCAGCTTCATTAGCATATACTGTCATAGCCCAGATGTGACAACCTTTCACATGGTTTACTTGTGGACATCAATGAATGGAACGTATTCAGCAGAGTAATCTCAGAAGAAGCAAGGTTAGTTTGTAAAACATGAACCCAGGAATAGATGGAGCAGTATCTGTGACTTCAGACAGTTGGAGAGGATGCAAGAAAAATCAATAGTGGTTGGGGGGCAAGCTCGCAAAACTACTGAAACACCTTGGGGTCAGGAGCCAACTCTTCAACTCATCATCAACTTATGCACTCTGAAAACTCAGATGCCTGAATTTACATGACAATATGTATTCTCTCTCCCAAATCAGGTTGGCAGGTGTCAAATATGAAGCAATACCAAGACATTCAGTTGAAGCCAAGGTTAGACCATCTTTATAATATGGACCTGGCAAATATATCACTTGTTCCTTTCGCGATCTAAGAGACCAAAATAGACACTCTTTGTCAACTACAGGGACCCAAAGATTAAGAAAATCAGATTACCTAGGGATCATGGGTTAAGGGCATGGCTGGCTTCGCAAATTTCTAAATTCTTACAACTAAACTCCTGAACAATAGTAGCTGTCAACTCTGATTTACAACCTAGACCATTATAGCTCTGACTGGACAGAGGACCAGACTTACAAAACATTCTTTTCTGAGAGGCTATTGCAGACCTTAAGCCAGTTTCATCCAGTTTACAGAGGCTGCACACAACTGTCTTTGTTTTCTAAAGTTCACTTTTTGATGAAAAGAGCTAAATCCTACCTCATTTTAACGCTAAAATTCTGTCCCAAAGTGAACCTGGTATGAATACTACATATATATTTACCCACTGAGCATGAAATTGACCTCCCTCACAGATATGTATAGTTTTTACCCCAAATATGTTGAATATATATGATTCTCGTAAAATATGAATCTTGCGAGGCATCAGACCCAAACTTGTCCTTCCCCGCTTCGGAGAGCACTTTTGGTCCACAATAGACATATACTCTTTTGGGTTTGCAAACCAATATCGCCAATAAAACTCTCCTTTCTACTGTTATCTACTGTTAACATAGAAACAGAAAATTGAATACCACAAGATCTTACTTATGAGTGGGAACTAAACTCTGGGTGCACAATGGCATAAAGATGAAACAACAGACACTAGGGATTCCAAAAGAGGGAGATGGAAGGAGGAAAGGGTAGAAAAACTACCTGTGGGGTACCATTGTCCATCACTTTGGTGTGGCCTAAATAGAAGCCCAAATCACACCATCACACAAAAAACCCATGTAATAAATCTGCACATATACACCTCTTGTATCTAAGAACACACACACTCACACATACTTTCAACAGAAAAACTCATTTCAAACACACTTCCTTCTGGCAGACTTTCTCTCCTGGTCTCCAACTCTCTTGAGGAAGGAGAAATATCCTCTCTGTTCCCTGTTGTTCTAGCATTACACCCCTTTGGTCCTTTGATGATACTTTTCTACTTTATCATTCCTACCTTGAAATAACACAAAAGACTTGACAACAAGACTACTGATCTATTTCCCTTGGGTCTGTTCCACCACCATCAATATCTGCTGACTAAATCTCTTGTGTGTATATGTGTTTGGGGGAGGTAACCAAATAAAGTAGTAAATATATAAATATAATCAGGCATTATCCCGCTTAGAAACCTTCTAAAACCTTTGTTTTGTGCTTTAATAACATACCTATATCTTTTTAAGGGCCCCAAGCTCTTGCACGATGTGGTCCTGCCTCACTCTCTGATGGCATTTTATATACCCTCCATATTGCTCCGGGCCATTGCCTATTTGCCACACGATTCTTCTTGCATTGGATGGAACTCACAAAGCAGACCCTCCTCTGGCCTTGACACCTACCTATGTGATGTAAAATGTCTTGTTCATTTGGTATCCCAGGGGCTGGGTGAGGGTTTGGTACATAACAGAAGATCAATAAATGCCTGGCAAATTAGTGAGTGAATTCACTTTGGATATCTAAAGAGGACCTGATTTCATTTCCTAGATTAGTATCTTAAGCATGCTTTTAAACTTGTAAAATAAATCTAATTTCCTTAAAGCAGACTCTGTAGTTTTCTTCTTCTTTCTCTATTTCTGGAAGGACCCATCCATCTAAATACCATCTCCTTTAGAAATTTCTCAGAGATGTTAGGGTTTTATGCTATTTCCCCAAGCAGGCATTCTGCTTCTCCCCATTATGCCATTTCAAACTTCCATGCCATGGTATGTGCTGTTTCCTCAGTCTGGTCAGCCATTAACCAATGACCAACTTCTACATTCCCACGCAGCTTTTAAAACTCAGTTTATGCTTTTGCTACTGCAAATAGTGCTTCAATAAACATATGAGTGCAGTTGTCTTTTCTGGTAGAATAATTTATGCTCCTATAGAACCAGGTCCAACAATTAGGTTCACGGGCCATCCTAGAAAAAGTACTCCATACCTTTATTACTGAATATTACTACTATCACATTTGAAGTACTCCCCTTGAGAAGATATGCACTGATGCCAGCACTTAGTCCACCTATTAAAGCAATTTTGGAACTCTTTTTATGGCATGGCCATCAGAACTGCTGCCATTATTTTTTAAGGTCGGACAATTAAGTTGGCAAACTTGCCACAGAGCACTTACCTTTTCAGCACTGTACAAATAACTGTAGAAGACTGGTAGAGCTTCCTCTCTCTATTTCTTTGTCAGAATAGGGTCACACTCCACAATAAGGCACCCTTATCCAGACGAAAAGGGTATGATGCTAGAACAACAGGGAGCAGAGGAGAGAGAACTCTCTTTCCTCAAGAAAGTTGGAGACCAGGAGGAAGACTGGGAGGGACCAGTCAGAACACCCTTCCTACCCACCTGATCTGGCTGCCTAATGACCTTTTGATTTACTCCAAGATAAAAAAAATATCGAAAGGAAGACATATGATGACAAGTCTGATGGCCATTCTACAAAAAGGAGTTCCAAAATTGCTTTGATGGGTGGACTAGGTGTTGGTCTCAGTGCATAGTTTTCCATGGGAGTATTTCAAAGGTGACTGTAGTGATATTCAACAATGAAGTATGTAGCACTTTTTCTAGAATGAGTTTGTGTACTTAATTGTTGGACCTCATATATGCCTATCAACAGTCGCTGGATATAGAAAATGTGGTAAATATACACGATGGAATACCACATGGCCATTCAAAAAATAATAGAATCATGTCCTTTGCAGCAACATGGATACAGCTGGAGGCTATTATTCTAAACAAATTAACATAGAAACAGAAAATTAAATGTCACAAGATCTCACTTATAAGTGGGAGTTAAAGTTTGGGTACACAATGGCATAAAGATGGAACAACAGACACTAGGAACCCTTAAAGAGGGAGATGGAAGGGAGGAAGGTTTGCAAAACTACCTGTTGGGTACCATGTTTGTCACTTTGGTGATGGGCTCAATAGAAGCCCAAACCATACTATCACACAATATACCCATGTAATAAATCTGCACATATATACCCCTTGAATCTAAACACACACACACACACACACACACACACACCATCAACAGAAAAACTCAACTCAAACACATTTCTTTCTGGCAAACTTTCCCTCCTGGTCTCCAACTTTCTTGAGGAAAGAGAGTCCTCTCTCCTCTGCTCCCTGTTGTTCTAGCATCATACCCTTTTCGTCTGGATAGGGGTGCCTTATTGTGGAGTGTGACCCTATTCCGAAACCCACAGGACTTAAGAGAGAAGATAGACAAATGGGACCTTATTAAACTGACAAGCTTCTGCAAAGCCAAAGAAACCATCAAGAGAGCAGGAAGACAGCCTACAGACTGGGAAAAAGTCT